TCCACAAAACTCCTGTTCACTCCAACCGACCCAACCTACTGGTATTGTGAACTTTTTTTTTTGAATTATTGTAATAAAACCCGAATATAACCCTTTTTTATCAAGCGGTAAGTAAATCAATAGCAATCAAGGAGAGTCACTCACCTAGTCTATAGTTTAAAATGCCAGCCAATACATACAAACATGCATCTTATAAAAAAAGATACTATATCCATGTACTGCACTTTTCAGCAGGCTGGACCTATTGAAGAATTGCGGAGGACCAAAGCCTATCACCAAGTACCGCATATGAGATATACAATGCCCTTGCAATACCAAAGAAGTGGGGACATTGGCATTTCTCAATTGATACCCCTACCCGATGCTGGCTTGTCACCACAGCGACAAGCAGTGCTGCACATTACAGGATGCCTCTTCATGAGGTTGCCACTGCCTGCGATGTATACGCATGTGAAAAGACACTCCGAAAGGCCTTCAAGATGGGGGGTTACTCCCGGCGAATCGCTCTTAAAAAGCCATTTCTCAATGCCTGCCAGCACTAACAATGACTCAATTTTGCTCTCACCTACTGGGAATGGAGGCAGGAGGATTGGCGCAAGGGTAATCTGGACAGACGAGTGCTATGCCTGGCTGACTGGCACTCAAAGCTGTACCTGAGTCATCTGGTACTCCGGAGAGGAGTACCAAGACAACTGCTTGGTCCCTAAGTTCATAAAAAAAAATTCTGTGATGATTTGGAGGGGGATCTTATGAGGCAAGAAAATACCTCTTGTATTGTAGGACAAGGAGAACTGGGGGAATATAACTTCTGAGAGTTATATTCAGAATGTTTTTGTCTCAGTTCTTATACCCTTCTAGTATCAGGAGAGCATGGCAGCAGGACAGCACTTATGGCTGATAGAGGATGGGGCTGCTGCCCATCGGGCACGCAATACCTGGCGTGTTCAGGCAGACTATAGAATTCCTAAATTCCAGTGGCCTCCCTGCTCGCCTGACCTCAATCCGATTGAGAATGTTTGGAATATGCTTAAGAATATGCTAAATAAGAGGTCACCCCTGCCTACTACTCTACGGGGTCTGTGGGAGGCCATTCAGGAGGAATGGCAGAAGATCTCTGAAGTTGATCTTTTGTCATTTGTTAATTCTATGCCTGAAAGGATCGAAGCTGTTATAGCAGCTGGTAGAGGTCATACACAGTAGTGAATTTTTTTAATTCTTAATTCTTAATTCTTAATTTTAATATTAATTTCTAATTTTTAATTTTTAACTATCATGGTTTTCTTTCAATCTGTATATCTGCAAGCGACTTCTATTAAATACGATACACACTTTCCATTACTTCAACTTCAGCCCTTTACCCAAATGCACAATGTTAGACTGTGTGCCAAACCCCTGTCAGGCCCCTGCTCACCCCCCCGTTTTCCACCCCTGTATTCGGGTTCAATATGCCTGGGATGTGTACGGTGGAAAGCGCCTAAAGGTGAGTCCTCTGGTAAAACAGCAATTTCGTTGCAACCGACCGTAATTGAGCCGAGAATTGCCAAGACTCTAAGAGCAAAGTGAAATGCAATTTACCTCCCAGCAATGTATAACACAGAACAGTCATTAGAGCAGGAATATAATATAATTAAGAGATTTTTTGTTATATGAGAATAATGAAATAGGTTGAAAGGAAAAAATAAGTCTACTCAAGAAGGATCCTGTGTAAAGGGAACCCAACAATGACTCTTATATACAGTTTTTGTAAATTGATCTGTACCATAATGCAAGCCAGTATAGTAGGCATCAAGTATACAATTACTTTTCCACCAGTATTTAAGAAGCAAAAGGGGTGGTACTTCCTGTAAGGCTTTTGGAACTGTCTTAATTAGTGAAGGCCAATTGTATTGACAATTCTTTCTTGTAAACCATTTCGTCCTCCCCCACCTGTATTCAATCCAATTTAGTTCACAATGGAACTTTGGAAAGAACAAACATAAATGGCCCTTTTTTTCAATTTCTTCCTGAAGGCGTGACTTTTGTTCCATGAAATCTGGCTGTACTGAGAGCAGCTGTCTGGCACAGCAAGAGTTACTCTGATGGTTTCTATCCTTTTTATCTTTCTTGCTTTTACAGTCAAGCCTCAATCCTCCTTCTGGCCAGAGGCCATGCTCCTGCAAAATCCTCTTACATTCTTTAGGCATTCCACGCCACCTCTCTGGTACTGTCAAATCATCCAAAGCAAAGCCCATTTTCTGAACATATAGAGTTGCTCCATTTGGTTGATAGAACCAATCATCTCGAAGTTGTGGTTGTTTACCACCAGGATCCATATTGATATTGGCTACTCAAAGAGCATCAGATGCATCTGCTGTATGTGAGGTTGCATGATCAAAGAGGAATAATGTTTGGATATTAGGAAATGTTGCTTCAAAAATGGGAATAGCAACATTCAATACATGGTTGACTAGATTTTCACCATTCTACCAGGATCCTTTCCCAACCTTGATGCATTCAGTTGCCTGTCGAGGATTGATTTTTAGTTCTAGAATTGGTTCCATCTCCCTTTCTTTTAATGCTGGTGGGAGTGAAATAGTTGGAGGTATTTCAAGCCGATTGCAGGGGAGAATGAAATTGGATACTATGAGGCCTTGGCCACGTGATTTTTTCCGAATAAGATGCTTGTCTTTATATATCCAACGATGATGTACACCATCATTTGAATGAAATGTGCATTTATCATGTGCACAAGGAATTCATAGTTGCTCATTGGCAGGTAAAGAGGTATTGTCAAGCTCTCCTGAAGGCAACCATTTTGGCATTCATTTTTCCAATTTCTTCCATTGGAGAAGAAAGTGATGCTGTCCGTAGAAAACTACCTCTGGCTTTTCATGGCCATCAATATACACCCCCTTCCTGACTTCCTTCCACTCAAACCCTAGTTTCTTCAACCATTTAATTGCAGTTGAAGCTGTGATACTCATTTTACCCCAAGTATGCTTCTCAATGAGTGTCTGGTAGACACAGGCTACTTGTATCTCTGCATCATGTTGGCTTGTCCGCTGAGCCCAATAGTTGGTAACTGCCTTCACAAGTCCTTGGACAGATATTGCTATTAAGTAATTTATTATTCAATTAGTTATAAGATATAAGGGACAAATAAAGAAGGTTTGCAGAGAAGTACCTTCATCAGCACTGTCCAAGTACTCTCGTACCGCAATGAGTGTTCCTTCATCATTCAACATGCTTTGTGACTTTGCATGCTTTCCTCTTTGACTCATTGTAATTGTTCTGGTCCTTATCCAGCTCTTTTTCCAGTGAATAATATTCTCTGCTGTATGCTTTCCCCACCCCCAACCAACTGCAGTATTAACTGCTGCTTTCTTCCTTAGCAGATCAGGATACTTGAGCTGCCAGTTCATAAATTGGAGAACTTGGAAGTATCGTTCCAGGTCTTGCAATGAGTATGCAATTTTCTTTTTACGTCTCAGTACTGCGTGGATATCTACCACTCCTAATTTTCCATTTTTATTTTAGTATTAATTACCACTCTTAATAGCCAAAATCATACCCTTTTTGAGCACAGTTACTCGTATATCCTTACTGACTCTTGGCCATTTCTCCTCCACCTGCCGTTCAATATCCTCCCAACTATCCTCAATATTTTCTCTCCCCATCTCCCTCTGTCTCTTTTGCTCTTTCTCTTTATATACTCTACACCACAAAGTACTTCTCAAGAGCCTCTTGGTCCCATGCGAATTGCATGTACCTGATGTAGCTACCTCTTCCTCTTCATTATCAAGACTCAACCGGCTCTCTTCAGCCTCCGAATTTTCAATAGGAGACTCCTCAGCCGGAGTCTCACATGTACTAGTAGGCTTGATGCCTAAATGCGGAATATTGCAAGCCTTTTTTGGTCGTCCTCCTTGAGGGGCAATCCTTTGCATATGCTTTCATTTCTTGTTTGGTGGGGGCATCTGAATTGTGATGTGGCTCTGAGTATAGAGTACTGTTGTGGTTACTATTGTTATCTTACATGGCTGGTCTCTAATGCCCCCTTTACCCATACTCATCAATTCTCACTCATCAATACCTCACAGTATATTTCAGCATGCTACTAGGTATATTTGGTCCCCTGTTTCACTCTCACCAAATTTTTCACTTTTTATTTTGAGACTCCTCTTGCTATGAATACTTAATTAAGAAAGAAAAACCGCTACCCTGTTCTCATTGGAAGTGCCATCATTGTAGTGGTTTTTTTTTATCAAAATTCCATGTTTTGGTGGACTAGTCCCAGATCGTATTTGGCCTATTTTGAGGTCCCGGTTTGACCTCATTTGCACTATACCTTTAACCACTGGACCATGAGTGAATCTCATAAAATTACTATTAACAGCATTCCTTGTAGGCATCCTGCTGATTACTGTAAACAATTACTCCTTTTTTATTATTTTACTTTTATTTATCTCTATTGATTAACTTATTTATTCATTATTGGTTATTTCTCTAAGTGAGCCTTTTTCATGGGATGTATAATAGCTCATTGTTGCGTGGTGAAAAGCCCCAACTGCCTTACATGTACGTTTGACCTCCCCCCGTAGACGGGTTAAATTTGAACATTCAGTGCAATACCGTATCATACTCGAGTACGGTGGGTTCTGGTCCGAGCATTGATATTTGAACCTCAGCATCTCCGATAATCGTTTAAATCTTACTCCAGTTTCCCCCCCAACACTCCACTGCTCGATAGTGCAATTGGATTTTCGGCCGCCCGCCACATCAAATTGAAAACTGCTCTCTTATATTGGAAGATCTGTGAGGTTTTGCTACCATACCGGTACGGTATCACACCGTAGTATGCTAAATTGTGGTAAAAGCCCCTGTTGCACATGCCACCCAGCAAAACCTTGAGGCTATTTCGGAGGGTTAGGGTTAAAAGCTGCTGACACAACCGTCAACCTTCCCCTTGCTCACCCGACTTTCCCGCCATCACAACCTCAGCTTTTATCGCCAGCAACAACATGTCAGAAGAGGACACAGCGGTCGATAAGGACATCCTAGCGGAGCTAGATAGGGAAGCATCTGATTACCTCAAGGTAAGGCTTTCCCCCTCCCCTCTATTCCCCCTTTTCTGCTTTTGCCCCCCTGCCTCGGACAAGGCGGGAAAAAGGAAAAGGTTTAAAATAAGGATAACGATAATGATAATCAAAGGCCACCAACTAATGCACTCACCCGTTATCAGGATGCCGAAATATCTCGTATTATCTACCCTCCTACCGTACCCTCCTATATTACTCCCGCGCCGTAGGAGGGGGGGGGGGCGCAAGGCATGACTTTGCACCTCCTCCTCCTTGCTGCACTCGGTTCAAGAGAGTGCGCAAGTGGAGGAAATAAAAAGAGAGATGGCTAACGGCTTACAACAGGAATCTTAAATGCTTTCAAATTAGATGCGTAAGAACCCCCCCTCTTCTCTTCTCCACTAGAGTCATGCCTAAATTCTGAAACAAGCTGGGGAAAAAATAAACAGCTACGCAATCCTAGACCTAAAACCCGGCGTCCCAGAATCCGACATCAAGCTCCAATTCCGCCGCAAATCCCTCCTTATCCACCCGGACAAGACTAAGAACCCGCAAGCCCCCGATGCCTTCGACCGTCTCAAAAAAGCACAGGGCGTGCTCATGGACGAGAAGGCGCGCACCCGTCTGGATGAAGCGATCGCCGACGCGCGCATGCTACTCATCCGCGAGAAGAAGTGGACCGTGGATAATCCAGAACTCACCGGCGAGGAATTCGCCGTGGAGTGGCGGGAGAAGACCAAGTTTGTCCTGATCGAGAGCGAGTTGAGGAGGAGGAAGCAGGTCAAGGCGCAGATGGCCGAGGAAGGGAGGGAGAAGAGGAAGGCGGATGAGGAGGTTGAAGCGCGGAAGAGGAAGCGGGAGAATGAGATTGCCTGGGAGGAGACTAGGGATCAAAGAATTAATAGCTGGAGGGATTTTAAGAAGGGAGAAGAGAAGAAGAAGAAGAAGAAGGCCAAGCCCCTGGGATGAAACTCTTTCCCCTTTTCCTATTTCTTTTCCTTTTCCTTTTCCTTTTTTTTTTTCTAAAAAAAAAAAAGACTCTTAATGCCTTTCTTTCATGTCCTTTTCTTCCGGTGGCCTACATTCATGTCTTTGATGCGTCTGTCGATTTTCTCCATTTTTTTTTCTTTTCTCCGATCAAACGGAAGACCTAAGTTACATTCCAGCAATCCATAGAACACCTCAAAGTCTTCAAATACCATATAAACCCGAGCTATCCACTATCTCCACCAGCCCCCCTGATCTCAGTGTTCTAAAACAAGAACCCTCAAGGAGGATTAGTGTTTTCCTCACACAGTAAAGCCTGAGTTTGCTGACCGTATTGGATCTCATTAACTGGTATCCGCAATTCTACTAACCCGTCAAACTAGACCCATCGTGGGCCGATGCCAGGATTGACGGAGACTACCCGCGTAGAGGTCTGGCCGGGATAATGGATAACTCGAGTTTATACTGTATCATAGTTATCGATAAACCGTCACCTTCTCTTTCTAGCAATGACATGCCCACTCAGCCAATCCAGACACTTCTCATCCAAGATCCCATATCATACATCCCCCCCTCCCTCCATCCCCGGATCCCATTCATCAAAAGAACATTCCCGAACAGCACACATACATACCCACGAGCACGAGTACATACAGCTGCCTACGATACTTATACTAGAGTACCACCGAGGTATAGCCCCTAAATATTGTATATTTTACTAGCAAGGGGGGTTCAGCTAGCGCGGGCAGAAACATGGAATTGGGTACGAGTATGATAATTATGATAACTACCTAATTGAGTATGACGACTACCCCATTCATTCCCTAACCCCTGCTAGCGGAACACCAGTCCTTAGTAAAATATACAATATTTAGGGGCCATCCCTCCATGCAGTGGGATACTCGTACAGTACGGTACATTAGCAACAAGACAAGACGATCACGTGACCCGATATGTGCTTCGAAGCTCCTTGCGCAAGGTCGTTGTTACTTGTACCGTACAAGGGTCAGGCATTTAGTTTTCGAACACACCAAAGTGGCTTACCCGCAAAAAATCATTAAAAACTGGTGAAGTCACAAACTGGTGTGTTCGATCGCTAAATGCCTGCCCCTTGTACCAAGTTTTGCATACGTAACTTATAACCCGATCGACCACATTGGGTTCTTGATCGATCCTGGCACAAATAGTTTTGTATTGGAATTTTGGAGGGGATTGTGGTGAGGAGCATGCGCTGATGTAATACAAATGATGATGGCGATGGTATCAATGAAAACGATGCTGGGAGTGAAGAAGGAAGAGGTACTGCACTCGAGTACAACATCAAATTTAATTGCACCTTAACTTACTACAGTACTAGCTTATCCATTTACAAAACCAATCCAATACACTATTGGGGTTGAAATGAGGAAAAGTATACTACATTAATTACCCATACCCTTCTACCTCCTCCTGCTCGTGGTTCAAAACCCCCACCAAGTAAAATAAAACAGCTACATACAAAAAGTACCAACGTGCTTATGCTCAAGTCGCAGCACAAGTAGTAGATGGGTGGGGTATATAAAAATTCCGGGTAGGGGAAAGTCAAACCGGGATATTTAAGTAAAGGGGAAAAGCATGATACAGGAATTGGACTAAATTCAGGAGGGAGGTGGGAGCGGAGCCGTGAATGGAAGGTTCGGAAGAAGCAAGGAAATAGACCTCGTACAGTAGTGTGAAAGTGAAAAGAGAGCCAAGCAAACAAATGTTGCAATCGATGATGATGGTACAAATCCAGTACCGTTAGCAAGCGCCGTATCGCACGTACGGAACGGTACGGCGCACACCAAGCTATTATCGATAAAAGGGTGAAGCAAGTGTAGCACCGAATCAGAACGGAGAGTCAGAAGGAGCTATCAGATCTTGAGAAGAAGCTAAAAGGAAAGAGTGAGAAAGGAAGGAAAGTAATAACAGAATGACACCCTAGCCCGCGCCTAGCTCAACCCTACTTCCTGGTTTCGAACGTGCCGAATTCCTGAGTTAACATGAACAGAGAAGTGAAAAGGGAAAAGGGAAAAGTGGATACGTCAAGGGGATGAATAAATAAATAATGACAGTGAAAGGAAGAAAGGGAAAAATAAAGAAAGATTGGGTATGGAAAGGCTGGGGGTGATGGAGAAAGTATAAAAATGCCGGAGGAATAGAGAGAAGAAAATATTATATTAGGGAGTGAGCCGGGGAGTGATTGAGTGATGGTAGGATTGAGCCGGTAATAATCGACCGCATGGCAAGGTAGGCAAGACAGGGGTGAGCCAGACTGGAACTCTTCCCTCTCTGTGCGCACTGTACTGGTGACCCCAATGAGGAATTAGAGGTCAGGCAGATAGTGGTTAGAAGAGGTGATTAGCGGGGGTAGAATCATGGCACCCGGCATGGTTGATACTCGGTCCGGACTCCAGTTCTCTTGCTGCCTCGCTGCCTCTCTTGCCCCCTCTCTCTTGAAGGCTCCGATATCCCGACATACCGCCTCCTACCCGTGCCCATCTCTCGCTATTTTCTCCACCCCCATTCCCGCTATTCCCCTGTGGCCCAGAAGCCCCACCGGCGCACACCAATGCACCCATAAGGTTCGCCAACTGTAGACTGGGATCTGACTGGTTGGATGCATCCTTTTTCTATCGGGGGATTTTGCCACGGTAGCGTACAGGTACGACATGAAAACCAGGGGACATCCTATCCATAATGGATAAAGGAAAGAAGGAAAATGAAAAGGCCGGACTCTCTTTTCGCAATCCCAATGCCATTTTTCTTCTGGGCCGATAAAGTCCTCCTCTTCCCTCTATTCCAATGGCGCCTCCTTATTCGATCCTCCGTGAATTCTCCTTTCTGAAACCAACCCGCTAGGATAAAAAACAAAAAAACACGAGAAACACGTGCAAAACACAACGCCTAACAAAACAACTCCTTCAAGTCCCGTAGTAATTGACACCGATATCGCCAATATCTGCTATTCCAGCATTTCCTGAACGCCAATTCGCTCCCTTCTAGGTGTGCTACTGGCCTGGGTCCCATCGCTTGAAGCACTTAATGGATTTCTCGTCTTATCATCTCCGCCCGAATTTTCAGAGATCCCCTTCAATCGTAACGGCGGTAATTGAAGATCATTCTTCAATTCTGTGTTCTTGTATATTGAACCAGAAGCTGATGCCACAGGCGAAACGGGCCGACGTACTGAAGGGAACCCCGCGGAAGCAGGGGACGGGGCAGATGCATATTGCGCCAACGACGGGAATGTGGATTCTGATTGCAGCGTTCTTGGTCGTGAGTCCATTGGGGAAGAAAGCGCGATACTTGGGTGTAATGAGTATGGCGATTGCGGCCCCTGGGGTTCTCCCTGCAATTGTCGCTGCTGTGAAGGTGTTAAAAACGACGGTGAAGTAAGAGGTGGCGGGGGTATTTGTTGACCCGGCGTATACATCCGAGACTGAGATCCAAAGGAAGATTGCGATGAATTGAATTGGAGTGGGGGTGGAATCCCTGTCACTAGCGAAAATACAACAACAACAAAGAAAACAGATGTTTTGGCCAGATTTATTTGGATCCGTGTACGGAGGAAATGACCATCCGGACGGCGAAGGTGAAGGTTTTCTTGTATATCTTTTGAACCACGGATAGCACTAGGGATATCTGCTTGGTTAACGCCCTGGATAGCCGAATATAACGAATCCGGAGAAACTGGTGGCCGGTAATTCGGTTCCCTTTCGGTAACTTCGTCCTGGATCCTCCTTGACAAGCGATAAAGCTTGTCCCTATCGCTCGATAATACAATATCATACAGGCTCCGGACACGATTCAGCTCATGCTCAGAATACCCCAAAAGCTCTCTTACATTCTCCGATGATTTGGCAACAACCAGCTCCGTTGTCAGATATGCCGTGGCATTTGGCACCGGGGACGGCAGGTTCAATCCTCGAGACCTAGGGAGAGGCCTGTCATCAAAATAGCTTCCAGATTGGCCCAAAGTTTCTTCGCGAGGTGTGAGGGATGGTCTTCGGTTGTATCGATGCGAGTCAGTTGGCTGCGATTTTAATACACGATGAGGACCCGTTCTAAATGATCGTGTGGTCGGTGAAGAAAGGGGAGACACGTTCTCGGGGCGATGCGACTGCAATGCACCCATCTGACCAACCTCAAAGCTGTGAGTCCTTTCATCCCGTAGCCTTGGTCTCCCCCGTTTTTTATGCTGAACATCTTTACAGGTATCCTGCGAGACAATTAGCTCACTTAAAAAGTTTTGATTCTTTTCATCCGCAATGTACCTGTTTACCGAGACCAACACACCGAGGGCAAGGTCGTCGAACTACAAAGCGGAGTATATTAGCACAATCACCATATATCACTCTGCGATGAAAATATTAGAAAATCGGCCGACCGGAATAACAGGATCAGAAACTGGGTGCGCAACAGGTTAATATGAAGAGCCTTGTCACGTGATCGCCGAGACAATCACAAACACTCACAAACAACGTCCCATAATTTCCGGCCGGCCAGTCACAGATGGGCAAAACGAGAATGCGGGAGAATTATCGGGATTGGATCACAATAGAGGGAGTGGTAGATGAGACTGGGAAAAAGGAAAGGAGAGAATCGAGGAAATCAGGAAGAAAAGACATCTCTTCTGCTCAGCCAGGGAGAGAAATAAGATAGCGAAAGGACCAAAGCCAATAATTCGCAATGCTCTCGCGTAATTGGTTAAAATCTGCCCGGAAACCCTGAAGGAAGCATCGGACGAACTCATGGGGTAAACGCCGAGCGCCGCGACTCCCCCGTTTCGGTGCCAGCGGCCTTCGTGTCTTGTGCCCGAAGGGTCCGAGCCCACGGTAGAGTTTGCGCCTACGAATCGACAAAACACAAAGGCGGAACAATTGAATAAAAAACCTCCGCCGATAGCAGTGCTTTGCGCTAAGGACAGAGAAAGGAAATAAAACTCTCAAAGGAAGATAAAATAAAACTCAAAAAAAATCTCAAGAGGGGTGGGGATGAATTGAATCGAGCTGCTGCAACATACCATCACAAGCCAAATGTGCTTTCTTACAGTTGACACATGCAGATGCAACATGAGATTTAGTCCTTCGTGGAAGCTGAGGTGGCGGAAACGACGGTGGGGAAACGAAAGGTGTCCTTCGGCCAGGGGATGTGGGCGGAAGCTGTGATGAATGGGCATGAGAGCTCTCATGGTTGTTCATGG